AATACACCGTAAGGATACGTTTTCTCATCAAAGACACCGTAAGGATACGTTTTCTTATCAAAGACACCGTCAGGATACGTTCACATCAAACACACCATCAGGATATAATCTCTCATTTAAGATACCGAATGGATACGTTCTTTTATCAGAGATACCGTCAGGATACGTTCTTTCATTAAAGATATCGACACAATATAAAAAATACCGGAAGGATACGTTCTCTCATAAAAAAACGTCAGAATACGTTTTCTTGTATAAGGCATCGTCAGGACACGTTCTCTCATCTGAGACACCATAAGAATATTATTTCCCATTAAAGATACGTCACTATACACTTTACAAATCAGAGACACCGTCAGAATACGTTATTTCATCAGGGACAGGGTAAGGACACGTTATCTCATCAAAGACACCAGCAGAACATGTTCACTTATCAAATACAGCGTCATGCTACGTTCTCTTATCGAAGACACCGTCAGATTTTGTTCTCTCATTATAGACACCGTCAGGATAGGTTCTCTTAACAAAGAAATCGTCAGGACATGTTCTCTCATTAAAGACACCGTCAGAATATGTTCTCTAATCAAAGACACCGTCAAAATACAATCTCTCTCATCAAAGACACCGTCAGGATACTTTTTTCATCAAGGACACCGTCAGGACACGTTCTCACCAAGGGCACCGTCAGGATACGTTTTCTAATCAGCGACACCGTCAGAATACGTTCTCCCATCAGAAACACTGCAAGGTACATTCTCTTATCAAGGACACCGTCAGAATACATTCTCTCATCGAAGACACCGTTAGTATGTATACGTTCTCTCATCAAAAACACCACCAGGACACGTTCTCTTATCAAAGATCTAATATACAAGGATACATTCTCTCATCGAAGACACCATCAGAATACAGTATTATCTCTTATAAAAGACAGTGTCAAGATTTAATCTTCAATAAAAGACACCGTCAGAATAAGAAATCATCAGGATACGTTAATCCATCATAGACACTGTCAGGATACATTCTCACATAAAAGACACGGCGTAGGGACTATTTTTTCGTCAAAAAGAGCATCAGGACATTCGCCTATCAAGAATTCATTCAGGTTAACGTTTGTTTCATCTAGGAAATTATCAGGATACGTTCTGTCATCAAAGACACAACCTAGTTACGTTATTTCATCAAAGACACCATAAGGATACGTTCTTTCTACAAAGGCACCATCAGGATATGTTCTCTCATCAAAGACATTTTCGTGATTGGATCTCTTTTAAAGGGCAGTCACACCGAAAAGACTATTTCTTTTATATATAAAAAAAACACTAGAACCGTCGTGCCGTTTCCATGAAAAGAAAACTCACTCATTACTTGCTTCCTATATCATATATGTAAGGGAAATGTCTCTTATGAAAGACACAGTTAGGATAGTTCTCTCATCAAAGACAACATGTGGGAATTTCTCATCATGGACATCGTAAGGAGGATACGTTTTGTCATGAATGACACCGGCAGGATATAATGGTCTCATCAAATACAGCATCAGGAAATGTTTTCTCATCAAAGACACCATAAAAATATTTTCTGTCATCAAAAATACCGTCGGAATTTGTTCTCTACACAAGGACACCTTCAGAATACTTGGTATGTTTACTTATCAAAGACAACATCATATGTTCTTTCAATAATAAACCGTAGTAGAATGTTTTCTTATAAAAAAAAATTAGGATCTCTCATCAAAGACACCGTCAGTGAATGTATTCTAATCAAAGATACCGTAAGGATACGCTTTCTCACCAACGATACTGTCAATATACGATCTCCCATCAAAGACACCGTCAAAGTGTGTACTCCATTAAAAAAAAACACCAGTATACGTTTTCCTATCAAAGAGTCTGTCATGGCAGGTTCTCCCATCACATGCGCCGTTAGAATATGTTCCATCATCAATTTCACCGTCAAGATACGTTCTCTTATAAGGGAAATGTTCAGGATACGTTCTCTCGAAAGGACACCATAAAGACAATTTATCTCATCGAAGACAAGACATCAAAATACATTCTCCCAACAATGACAATGTTAGGACGCGTTCTCTCATCAGGGAAACCGTCAACATACGTTCTTTGAGCAAAGATTCGGTACTTATTCTCACTAAAAACACTGTCAGGATATATCTCTCATTTAAGATATCACCAGGGAACGTTCTCTCATCAAACATTTTCTTTTTTTTTATTAAGGAAACCAGGGTACATTATTTTATCAGAGAAGCCGTTAGGAATTTTTTTTCATCAAAGACACAATAAGAAAAGGTTCTCTTATCAAAACGATTCTCAAAACATATTTTCCTATATATAAAACACCACCAGGATACGTTCTCTTACTATAGACACAGTCTGAGTACGAACTATCATAAAAGGCACTTTCAGAACGCGTTCTCCCATCAAAGGCTGCCAAAGTCTCATCAAAAACACCACAAGGGAATATTTCCTCAACAAAGACACCGTCAGATTCGTTCTCTCTTCTAAAATATTATAAAGGTACATTTTTCAAGAAGGAAACCGCTGGGATACGTTCTGTCATCACAGACACCATATCGTATTGAGCTTGAATAATGTTCGTTATCTTTATATACCAGTATTTCAAATGTAATTAATTTAAAAACTTCTTCTTAACAATAATTAAAAAATCTTATGCTAAAACGGGACATTAAAACATCACCATAATCAGTTCTTTCTTCATGGATACAGTCACAGTAAGTTCCCTCTTCAAAGATACCTACAAGAACGTTCTTCAATAAAGACACTGGCAGCAACTGTTACAGACACTGTCTATTTAGGTTTTTTATCTAGCACCATCAGATTAATTTTCTCATCGGAAGCACTGAGATTAATTTTAGCTAAAGTATCTTAAAGGTTTAGACCGATCAAAGTCACTGACAGGGTAAGTATTTGCTAAAAGACGGTCATAAAAAGTTCTTCATGATAGGCTCTGTCGATGTGAGTTATACATAAGTGGTATCGTAATGGTAAGTTTAAAATCAGATCAGAGGCTACGTCAATGAAACGCGTCACCATTAAAGAAATAGTCAGCGTAGGTTCTCATCAAAGAACCATAATAATAACTTCTCAGAGAAAGTACATGTATAATCAAATCATCGTCAGAGGAAGTTCTCTCAAAACACTTTAATGGTCAGTTTTCCGTGAAGGTACGATCTCTCATTAAATACAATGTCAAGATGAGTTCTCCGTTGTTGTTTTAATGAAATTCTCAATCGGAATTGTTATCAAAGACTCCATCAGGGTAATTTCATTCGCAAATTAAAGATGTCGTCAGAATAATTTTTTGACAAGACATCGTCAGGGCAATTTTAATCGTGCAGACACCGTCAGTATACATTCTTCGATCAAAGACACCATCAGGATGAGTTTTTTTTTTCATTTAAAAACCTATGTGAAGGTAAGATAATTCAACAAAGACACCGATAGGGTAAGTGATGTCGAATTGCAACGTGCGAATTTCATCTCTTATGAAATAGACCATCTAGGTTAAATTTTATTAAATGCAGATTTAAGATATTTTAACAACAAAACTGTCCGGATAAATTCCTATAATTTAAGATTCTTTCAGGATATGTTCTATTATTATTATTGTCGAGAATCCATGTTCTTACAAAAAACTAGTATCACCTACTCATTTATTTTAAGGATATTTTTCGCTTAATAGTACTGTTTTATCTTTCAAAAAATTTGATTTCTTCCAGATGCTGTCGTACGCTGCCCATGAACTTTTTCAAGAAAACATTAATTACAGATGATGAAAAAACATCAAAATTTTAATGAGCAAAATAAAAAAAGTACTGACTTCATTTTCATCTGTTAATGAATGTATTTAAGCATTAGATGAAGTTTCAATCAAAAACTGCTTTACCATCACGGTAGCTCATTTGGTAGAGAGCTTGCTCCGTAGTCAGAAGGTCGTAACTTGTTTGAAAGTCGTCGGCCGCGACTAACCCAAGTCGATAAAAAAAAAACCGTTTCTTCGCCAAGCACTTGGCACTCTGAGGTGAAAACTGCGGGTCTTTCGAATGTCATACGTCATACAGACCCATACGCTTTACAAGATAATTACTTAGTCTAGTAATTTTTGAATCATCCACATATAATGGTGACTGAAAAGTTTGTTCTCCTAAAAATATGTTTTTAGCGAATCAGTCTTAAGGTTCAGTGAAACTCTGATAAGAGAGATAACTCTCAATGACATAAAAGTCTAATATTTCTTTATAAATTTGTCAAGTTGGTGTCTTTTTTGTCCAGTTTTGCTATGCTATAATTGTTTGTATTTTACTTTTAAAATACATTTTCTTTGGAAAAACCATTAAGGTTCAAGCAACATTTTAGCAATCTCGTTTAAAGTCATCAATTCATGAGTTCTATTGATGATACAATGACCTTGTCAGCAAAAACAATTTATCATTGTCAAATGCTGTCTGACGTTTTCCATACTTGTTGATAGTCCATTATTTATACATGTACACTGAATTGACGAATGATTTTTTCGTTATTTCCCGATCATGACAAGGAGCACATGGCGGGTGTGACCGGTCGGCAGGGGATGCTTACTCCTCCATGGCACCTGATCCCATCTCTGATATGTTTTTGAGCTTTGATCTGCTCCTGTTTTGTATTGTTTTATGGACTTTTGATATTGCATACTATTCGTTATCTCCATATGTTTCATTTTACATGAGTGATCAGAGGTTATATGAAACTTGAGGTTTTTTATCAGTATACGGGGAATAATTATCACTGATAATCAACCCAGTAATTTGAAAATATTGTAGAACAAAGACGAGTTTCTGGTAAAACGGAGGGATATTGATGCCGAGATAATAAGTTGATTTGTAAGGATGAATAAATAGAGCCTTTTCAGCGGCTAATCGAAAAAAAACACAATGTTACATATGAAATATTCATTAAAATGAAATGTAGCAAGAAGAGAGCTAATTTACAGAGAAAGTATGTTTTATTTGCACGTTCATCGTCAAAACGAGTTTTGATTAAAGTTGCACAACATCAGACCATAATTATAAATACATGTACTAGTAATTTTAAACATAATGTATTCTATGAAACTATACACCAGTATTGTATTTGTTTTACTTCATATATCTAATGACAACTATTTTTACAGAAATGTTTTTCTTTTAAAATATTTATTTCTATGGATGTAAAACATTCTGTATGGAATATTAAGTCAGTACTAGTATATGACAATTGGACAGACCCTCACGCTTTACCAGAATGAAAAGTCGAACGGATCGTAATAGTCTTCTTCTTGTAGGACTTCGTTAATCGCGTGGACAACTCCATTTGTCCCTACCATATCACATTCAGTGACGTCCGCTGTTCCCACACTAAGTTGATCTCTGGACTCCTCAACGATTAATTTCATTCCCGACACGGACCTCAACCTTCTGGGGAATATATTAAATCTGTCACCGAATCGTTTAATTTGGGAGCAACAATGGTGTCCTTAGAATAAAAAGTACATAGGTTAATCAAACCGATTATAATATATATCCAAGTTTAAGTAGCATACGTGTGTACATGTATATCATAGTTTACAGATTCTTTTGAGTTTTCTTTTTTAATTAACACAATTTTCTAATAGAAACTAAGTAAACTAAATGTCTGATAAAAGATCAATATACTGAAATTATTATTTCACCTAAATTATGGTTTCAAATTTTTATATACTGAAATATACCCTGAATGATATGGTCTTTGATGAAACTTTGCAAGTGTTCTTTACGACTTTCCAATTCCTTCATATCGTTCTCTGAAACTTCTTTTAGCGCCTAGGAATCGAGTAATAAATGACATATTATTTTGATTAAAATACTGTTTTAATTTAACTACAAACATATGGATACTCATACATTCATAAAAAAATATATAAACTTAATATTCAGGTCAATCTAATAAAAGACCAGTATTATTTAAAAAGATTAATATCCAAACCTCGTTTGTTGGTGCTAACACTGTGAATGGCCCTTTTCCCTGTAACTGGTCAGCTAGACCGGAGTTTTTCAACAAACGAACGAATTCTGTAAACCGATTGTCCACTTCAAGCACATCAACAACAGTCCCTACTGGTGGGACCAAAACCTGAAACATTGGCCAATAGAAAATACATGTACAATGTCAACAACGGTACCGAGTGGAGGGCCCAAATTCTTAAACATTGACCAATAGGTTAGAAAAATACTTGTACAACGTTAACAACGGTACAAAATAGAGGGACCAAAATCTAATACATTGACGATTAGATTAGAAAAAATGGTACTTGTACAACGTTAGTAACAGTACCAACTGGAGAGAACAAAACCTAAAATGTTGACCAATAGATTAGAAAAACACAGTACAGGTCACCAACGGTCCCTACTGTTGGGACCAAGACATTGGCCAATAGATTAAACAAGAGATGTTTGTAAAACACTTATGCCCCCTCCCCCCATACATATTGGAATTAAGTCCAAAAGGGCATAACTCTGTCTAAAATGGTGCAATCCTACCCAAAACAGAACTTGACCTAGATATTTATCTGATATATCTGTATACTAAATTTCATTTCAATATGTGTAACCTCTGCAAAGAAAATGAACAGAAACTTTGGAATTTTTCTGATATATCCTGGATATTTATCTGATATATTTTACTAAATTTCATTCCAATATGTGCAACCTCTGCGAAGAAACTGAACGGAAACTGCAAATAAATGGAATTTTTCTAAGTCCAAGGGGCATTACTCTGTCAAAAATGGTGCGATCGTACCCAAAATAGAACTTGACCTAGTTATTTACCTGATAAACCTGTATATCAAATTTCATTTAAGTATGTGCAACGGTTGTGAAGAAAATGAACGGAAACTAAATGAACCGACAGACCGACCGACAGCAGCAAAGCAATATACCATCCCTTCTTCGAAGGGGGGCATAAAAATACGTGTACAAAGTCACCAACGGTACCAACTGGAGTGACAAAAATCTGAAACCTTGGCCAATAGATTAAGAAATACGTGTACAATGTCAACAACGGTAACAACTGGAGGGTCAAAAATCCTGAAACATTGGCCAATAGATTAAAAAATACTCCCCTTACTTATGCAGCAATATAATAAACCTTCAGCACCTGCATACAGAGTATATATATCTCAGTTGATTCAATACGCAATAGCATGCTCTGCATATGAACAATTTCTAAAACGAGATAAATTATTGACAAGCAAGCAAGAATATCAGCAAACTCGTTTAAAGTCATCATTTCGTAAGTGCTATGGTCGATACAATGACCTTGTCAGCAAATACAATTTATCATTGAATCAAATGCTGACTGACGTTTTTCATACAAATTATTAGTCCATTATTTATACACTGAATTGACGACGGATTTTTCCGTTATTTCCCGATCATGACAAGGAGCACACGGCGGGTGTGACCGGTCAGCAGGGGATACTTTATTCCTCCATGGTACCTGATCCCACCTCTGATGTTTTGGAGGTCCGTGTTTGCTCTGCTCCAATTTTGCATTGTTTTATGGACTTTTGATATTGAATACTGTTCGTTATCTCCATATCCTTCTTGTACAATATGAACAACGGTATCAACTGAAGGTAACAAAACCTGAAACATTAGCCAATTGATTGAAAAAAAAATATTTTTACAATGTCACCAACAGTACCAACTGGAGGGATCAAATCCTAAAACGTTCGCCAATAGATTAAAAAAAATTGCTTGTACAATGTCACCAACGGTACCAACTGGAGGAACCAAAACGTGAAACACATTTGCAAATAGTTTAAACAAGAGGCCTATGGGCCACATCGCTCACCCGAGTAACTTGGAACAGTTCTTTACCAGATTCCCCCTCTTGCTATACCTATCGTGCCCACTACCACCTCCCCTTTCATGATTTTAATACTTTAAAATCTACACTACTCCAGGATGCTTCCACATAAGTTTCAGCTTTCCTAGCCATGTGGTTCTTGAGAAGATTCTAAAAGATTTTTCTTCAATATATCCATGTAAATCTTGGAATTCACTATTGTGGCTCCGCCCTACCCCCGGGGGTCATGATTTTAACAATTTAAAAAAAGAAGATTTTTAAAGATTTGTTCTATACATTTCTATGTAAAACTTGGATTCCCTATTGTGGTCTCCCCCTACCCACGGGGGTCATGATTTTAACAATTTAATATCTACACTACCCAAGTCGCCCGCGCGGCGCAGTGGTTAGAGTGCCTGCTCTAGAGTTGCTAAGTAAGGAGTCAATCCTTACGTCGCGGGTTCGAATCCCACTGCGGGATTGAGACGGGTCCTTCGGATGAGACCGTATAAACCGAGGCCCCGTGTCGCAGTAGGTGCTGGCACAAAAAAGACCCCTCACTGCTCAAAGAATTCCATATTTTGGCCCCGTCTTACCCCTGGGGGTCATGATTTTAACAATTTAAAAAATGATTTTTAAAGATTTTTTCTATACATTTCTATGTAAAACTTGGATTCCCTATTGTGGTCCCGCCCTACCCCATGCGGTCATGATCTAACAATTTAGTATCTACACTACCCAAAGATGCTTCCACAGAAGTTTCAGCTTTCCTGGCCCTGTGGTTCTTGAGAAGAAGATTTTTTTTAAAAGATTTCTTCTATACATTTCTATGTAAAACTTGGAATTCCCTGTTGTGGTCCCGCCCCATCCCCTGGGGTCATGATTTTAATAATTTAATATCTACACTACCCCAGAATACTTCCACATAAGTTTCAGCTTTCCTGGCCTAGTGGTTCTTGAGAAGAAGAATTTTTAATGACCCCAACCTATTTTTGTCTTTTCTTGAATTATCTCCCCTTGTAAGGGGACTTGGCCTTTCATTTTAACAATTTAAACTCCCCTTCACCCAAGGATGCTTTGTACCAAGTTGGTTAAAATTTGATCATTAGTTCTTGATAAGAAGTCAAAAATGTGAAAAGATTACAGACGGCCGAAGGACAAAATGTTATCAGTAAAGCTCAATTGAGCCTTCGGCTCAGGTAAGCTAAAAATTACTTGTACAATGTCAACAACGGTACAAATTGGAGGAACCAAAACCTGAAACATTGGCCAATAGATTAAAAATACTTGTACAATGTCAACAACAGTCCCTACTGGAGGGACCAAAACATTAAACATTGGCCAATAGATTAAAAATACGCATACAATGTCAACAAATGAACCTACTGGTGGGAGCAAAACATGAAACAAACACTGGTCATAAGATTAAAAAAATACTTTAAGTTAGATTAGGTACCACTGGTGGAACCAAAACCTGAATATTGATCATTAAGGAATAAAAGATGCTTGTTCTGACATATGTGAATAATCAATCTCAATTAAGTATGTATTTTTGGGGAAAAAACATGTAGTTACCATTTCTGAAACTTTTTAAATCCTGGAATATTTAAAAAATATCAGCACACCAACCTTGTCTATGATATGAATAATTCCGTTGCAGCTTTGAATGTTGGATTTCAAAATGGTAGCACATTGTATAGTCTCTCTAACAAAGCCATGATATGGAAACTGAAAGTATTGAGAAAAAAATATGAAAGGGGTCACAGGTGAAAATTTTATTTAAGAACTATTTATACATGTATAATATATTGTACAGTTCTATTGTCTTGCCTTATTCGATGCAAAAAGATGCATGTAGTGACTTGTCCTATTCAGGGAAAGAAGATACAAACAAGAAGCTGATGCCCGGATTTGCATTTATTTTGGACACATATATGTTTTGGTTGTAAATGATGCAAATGATATTTTTATGATGTTCACATTTCTACCCCTCTACAACCATCCTTAATAATTTAACTTTTCTCAGCTTTAAATCAAATTAGTGTGCAACTTAGAATAAAAAATAAAAATAAATATGGTTATATTCATTTTACTCCTTTAAACATGATTAAAGTTGTTATTTTCATGATTTTGTATCATCTGTCAATCCGGAAGACGGAGAAGAAAAACTTCTAACTCTGGTGTTAACTTTTTTGAGAAACTTTACCATGAAATCCCGGTGGACAGTAAGGTTCCTTTTGGGGTTCCACGTAGGCAACTTGTCGTAAGCGCGGCACGTAGTCGTAGTGGGGATCACGTGATAACGGAGTGCATCAGCTAGTGCTGTCTCTGACTCGTTCAGTCTCTTCTCAGCAAACGCCGTCATTTTCTGTGGACGGAAAAATTTAAATAGCTGCATTATTGCCCATAGTTCTATAAATAGTATAGGAACCTTTTGCTGAGCAAGTAAAAATTGGGTATAATCTGTAAAAAAACAATGCATATAAACGTAATTAGTATAGCCAAAGCTTACTGAGAACGCCTCGTCTGTTGGCACTAGTACAGTAATATTGTCGGCCGTTTCGAACGATTTCTTAAGACCTGCTTGCACAATTAATTCCGGGAGTTTGGTAATATTCCTCTTCTGAAGTGCATGAAGTATATCCAAAGCTATACAACAAAATGAGGAGGTTTCGTTATAAAATTTGGATTTATTAATCAGTTTGAAGGCAACTCTCATGCAACTATATGAATGAAAGAACGTTTAAAAATATTTAATAATCATTGTATTTGACCTTCATCAGGAAGAATAACGTCATCAATCAGGTGAAGCACGCCATTGGTAGCCATGACGTCACGGTCCACAATCTGTGAGTTTTCCACGAAGTATTTGTTATTCTGATCACGTGACAAGCGGAGATAGTTCGACAACCGATTTTTCGTTCGTGACTTGTGTTTATCCGACACAGCCGAGGAGCAAACAACATTAGGAAGAAGATGATGGAATAAAATTTCTGGAAAAGAAGGGAAACCATAGCACACTGGATTCTTTACAACGTAATGTATTGGTGAATATTGAAAAGAAAATGGAGCATTATTAATAACGCAACAAAAATGTAGACTGGTTTAATCTTACTGGTTTAATGAAGTAACTAATTACTTTTCAAGCAACGTTGATCACTTAAAATTCTCTGTAAAAGTCCTCCGTCCAGTTTCTTAAAAGCATTGTCTGTTGGAGCAAAGAGGGTAAACTGTCCATTACTTCTAAGACTGAGACCAAGATCAGTGCGACCAATAGCTGAAAGTGGAGGTGCAACAAAAAAAACTGTATTTCAAAAGATGCATTAAAAATACCCCGGTATGTCAAAACGCTTAAACGTAGCACAAATATATTAAAACACATTGAAATTTTTTTTACTACTACGAACTGTCCACTTTTTACTACTACGAACTGTCCACTTTTCCTGTAGCAAAGCTGTGGTTTTTCCTGCTGAAGAATGGCATATTTTCCTCATTGGCTGAATTGAGGGTTTCCGCTGCTTCTAGAGAATGACAGCAATATCACCTACCCGTCTTCAATTTGCTATGCTTTGGGTTGGTGCCATGTGATACCGCTGCCGCTTAAGATTGACAATAATATCATCTACTTGTCTTTTAGGTAACTGAGCTGAGGGTTACCACCGCTGCCTAGAATTGGCCGCATTGTCACCTACTTATCTTAGTTGGCTGACCTGTGAGTTAACACCGCTTAAAGATGACAGTAATGTCATTTACCTGTTTTCAGGTAGCTGAGCTGAGGGTTGCTGCTTATGATGTCCATCAGTGATTTAGTTACTGGCTGCAGAACATCCTCAACAACATAAATGACACCATTGGTTGCTAGATTGTCACGTGACGAAATCCGTTTACAATTGGCAGTCATGATCTGTCAATTAAACTCGTTTTAATAGATCAAAAACATTAAATATATTTGTAAGTTTACCATGATAAATCCTGATTATACCTACACCATCGTCTACCATGTCATAGAAATTGACTCTGATAGTGGAGGATTTGGAATTTGCAGACGTTATCGTCTGCTCGTCCTCAAGTCTTGTAGTGGTAAGGATACCTCCTGCCACGTGACCCAACACCAGATCCGATGCATCACTTACAAGCAGGGTGCTTTCAGATGGTGAGATTCTGATGACAGAGTTCATATCCTGGTAAAGAATATGCACCAGAAATTTATATACCTTCATATTTCCTTACGATTTTTTTTTGAATATGCAAAAAATTTTGACTGCTTATTCTTTCAACATGAAAAGTGCAGCTCACGCTAAGAATGATGTTTTCAAAGGTTGGATACAAATTCGGTGTTTGTTTAAAAGCTTCATTTGTTGGAGCAAACACGGTGAAATTCGCCCCGGAGCTGTCTTGTAGTTTACTCTCCAGACCAACACTTCTAGCGACTCTGAGGAATTCTGTCAAGTTCATAGACTCGGCTGTCTTCACTATATCTTGTAACTGACGATCTGCAGCAACATAATTTATAAGGTAACAAATTAATGCATTAAAGTAGTTTTACAAAAGAATTATATAACCAGAAAACAACACCATTTACTTCTTAATTCTAGATTCTTTACATGAGCCAGTTACATATCATGAAAGAACCATTTCATCAGTGATTGATGTAAAAAGAAAGTCTTACAAGTTGGGCATCCATATTGTCCTGAAGTCCTGCTGTAACCATGACAGCATTCTTTGACCTCTTTGAGTGTTGTCTTCTTCCCATTGGTGGTCGTTCTTTTGTAAATAGTGACATTTTCAATACAAATAGCATTTATCACAAAGATGTTAATTCGTACTTTTACCTGTACGGGTATATACTGCATGAGTTTCAAACTTATAACTAATCTTTTTATAATTACGAGGAAAATTATTGCCTTATAAATACAGATATCAAAAAAAACTTTTGTGATATGGGTAAAAACTAAGGATTAAAATGTCGACATTCATTGGCTTTTTATTCGACATATAATAAGAAAGACTTACGATTTAGTACATATATAAGACGTAGTCTTGTCATCACACGTAACAGTAGTCGTCATATGATGACTGGTAACGTCATCTGACGTGGTCTCATTCTTACGCACTTCATCCGTACAAACATTTGGACTACAATGAAATAAAACCTACTGATAACAGTTTTATTGGTAATAATTGACTTCAGTCCTTATTTTTCTGGTTTATTGGAAAGGATTTTTGTTGGAAATTCATAATAATGATTTTGTACTATTATAGAATAAAGGTCAATGCCAAGGTCACACACTATGATAGATTTGAATCATTATGCTCTACTTTATACTCTCCTATTTGTTGCATGATATACTAGTACATGAAGATGGCTGCATTAAAGGGTGAAATGATCAGAAAGTAAGAAAATTGATAAATCGGTATTTATTACGCTTTATAAACCCCTATTTACAGGTCCATGTACGAGGAGTGATCAAAAAGTTCGCGAACTAATTGAATAACTTCCGTAAAAGAAACAATATTTGGTTTCAATGTTGATTATATTTTAAAATTAATCCTCCCCGATTTTAATGCACATCAACCACCGTTCTGCACATGCGCGAATCACGTGATATTGACAGTCCCATGACCCCCTCCGTAGCGTTCTGTCACATAAGTTGAAAGATTTTTCCGAGTTTTATATTTCTTTCCATGTGAGTTAATTTTTTTGACAAGAATAGTTCATTTGTCAGAAATGGTCAAATCTCGGCAACAGAATGGGTGGATAAGAATATCCTTTCCAAAAATAAGCATGGCGACCATTAAAACACAAATCTTCTGCCTCAGGAGAGACCTTTATTCAAGGTGGATAGAGAATGGGTGCCTCCTTTTTGTCATATCTTATATGTTTAAAATTCAAACTAAACGATATCTTAGGTATTTAATAATTATATTATTGTTCAAATATTCAACTATTTTTCAAAGTGTAAATTGTTTAATTAAAAACACATTATCTTTTCAAACTTGCTTTCACTGGGCAAGATGACAAGTATCATATTTAACCATCTGCCTCCCTTCACTAAAACGATCAATCCAATCATTAATTGAATTTATAAGAACTCATTTATCTTAATTAACTGTGTACAAGTTTTTATGTGATACTGCAGAGGAATTTCTAAGATATGCAATAAATTGTAAAGTCGTTTGTTGGACGAGTTCGACTGAGACAACCATTTTTCGTCACAAGTGACCTACATAGTGACGTCATTTTCACATTGTGACGTCACAAACAAGGAGAAAAACTTTATTCAGCATACGCTATTTATAGACCTTGTGTATGGCTATCTGTGTACCGAATTCGAATTTCATTCTAATCTGAGTCGTGGTTCTGTAGATAAAGAGATAATTCGCGAACTTTTTGATCACCCCTCGTATGTATATCTATAAATAGTCAAGCATAACACTGGAAAGTCTAATTCATGAACCATCAGTTAGCCATCGTTATATCCATATATTTCATCAAATATAGTGAGTATGTGTAATAGAAACTACTTAAGTAAGTATTTAATGGCAAAGGGAAACATTAATTACGAAGGAAGTACAATCGCAATGTGTCAAGTGCTCTGAATCCACAGTAAAGTATTAAAACCCTAAGTTGACCGAGTCATCTGGAAAGAATTGGGGTATATGCTGTGCCGAAAAGGAATGTGATTGATCGACACATAAATTTGAGCAATCATAACAAGCTAAACTATATCTAAATATTACAAACTGCTGAAATTGAAAAAAAAAACCTCCAAAATAAATCTTAAGGCTTATAAGTTAAATTGCCAAGTTTAACGTGAGAAGTATTATTTTTAAGGACGAAATAAGTAACACTGGTGTCCCCGTAAGACAGCTTACAGCGAGTGTTGAAGTTTCTCAAATGAAAGTCAAACTCCAAGGTCAAGCTATATTGATAGTATCCAAAGGAAGCTCTTGTCGTAGGTAATAAACTTGTGAAATATGAAAGCCCAAATACTAATTAATCAAAAGTTATGGCCATGGTAAGGTTTTTTTTAAAAAGTGTGTCAAAGCCAAAAGGTGTTTACTAAATAAAGGTCTTGTTATAAAGAATACACATGTGAAGTGTGAAAGCCTAGCTCTAACTATTTAAAAGTTATGGCCAAGGTTAAAATCTGGTATTTTTTGTAAAGGTAGGTCAAACTCGAAGGTCAAGGCTAAGAGGTCAAAATCAAAGGTCAAGACCAATAGGTCAAATTTGGTCTACCCAAAAAAGGTCTTGTCACAAGGAATAACCGGTGAAATATGAAAGCCATAGCCCCACCAATTCAATAGTTTTGGACAATGTTATAGTTGTTGCGGACAAATAGACAGGACAAAAACTATTACCTGTACGGGCTGCCCTGTATATGCATGTATTTTGAAGAGAGTAAACACATACTTGAAGTGTAGAACAGTACCTACCCGTCCCACCAATCCCTGGATCTGCTGCTACCTCCATAGTTAAAGGCAAAATTAATGTCAGCCCAAGGAAAACGCCACCTGTAAACAAGGGTGGCATTACAAGTATGAAGATTTAGGTTTCGTACAAAATCTAAATCTAATACTTCATCCAGAGACACGCTTATTTATGATTCAATTTTCTTTAATCTCCTTCATAACAGTTATTTAAGTTTATGCATTTCATGCTTAATGAAGAGCTTGTTAGATTTCAATAGAAGTATGTCTCTGCTAACTGCATGAGACTTCCTATATGGTGTATACTTTATTCCTTTGTTTAACTAAATGATGTGTAATAAAGGTCTGCATAATCGATTCAAGTCATTATTTGCATGTAGTGAAGCAAGGTGCATAAAAGAAGAATTTAAGGAACTTGCTGTTCTTAATACTGACGGATTTTTTGTGTGTGGACTTTTTAACATATAAAAGTCTTCCTATTAAAATCTAATCCTATTTTCAACTAAGTATTTCTCCAGGAAAAAAGTTAAAGGACAGGTACTATTAGTGAAAAGAAGTCAGTTTTGCTGGGAAATACATGAAAGTGATGCTTACAATAACTTAATTCATCTTGCACTGATACAATGTTCAAAATACAGTGAACATCCCTCCATTTCAAACTGTGTTATTTACTACAGATTTTCATTTTATTTCAAAGGGTAGATCCCTCTAAATGCATAAAACCCATGAAATTAGAACTCTTCAAGGAGCAATGTTTAAATCTTCCTTAATACAAAGAATAAATGCATTCATTTTTTAATATTCTAAAATGTATTTAGCATTTATAAAATGTCAATTTGTGTTACATTCACTTATAAACACACAGGCAATATTTTTCAAAATTTCCCCCACATTGTATTCACTTCAAATAATTTTGTAAAGTTGATTTCTTACCTATGGTTCCAGCGGCGCACCTGTCTTCTCAAACCTCGAAGTCCATCATTAAGTCTGCGACCGAATCTGTGACGATGACGTCGTTGACGTCTGCATTCGATGTCGTCTGCCACCAGAAGCAGAAGGACAAAAAATAACAAGAAGCAAAACCGCGACATCATAAAGAATAGAATGTCCGATAATATATAGTTCTGGCTACTGGACAATTAAACAGGAGGCTCAAGTGTTTACTGAATAAAACATGCAGCAAGGAGAAATTCCCAGAAACAGAGGATACTGCGCATCGAGAAAACTGGTTTTATAACCCTTGTTTTATAACGTCAGCTGAATCAGCCTATCTCAAAGGAGGGTGCATTTTTTTTTATTTTAAGAGGAAAACAAGGCTCTGGTGGTCTCTTGATGTGTGTACTCAATTATGAGAGGCTGATGATATACTGATAATGCAAGTATTTGATTATGCAAGACAGTGTTTTCGATGGGCATATCTTTGAAGTGTATAAGTACAATGTAAGACATGTTTGTATTTATCCATTATCCAATTGTCAGCTTTGCCTATAGATGTTTTCTATTTTTGCATTCAAAAAGTTCTAAATACTTATTAGTAGGTAATTTATGTTCATTTTCAATAAAAACTTTAAAGATATGTGAATACAATGTAAAATGTAATTGTTGACCTGTGAGTGTCTGAAGGAGCTATTTTCGCTCTGCGAATATAACGTATCTCACAATTTCTATCCACTGGTATTTTATATGTATAGCACAATCGCTATATTCTTTTCCCCCCATTTTCATAGCATGGGAATATTAAAACATGATCAAGAAGTACGAGTTTGACACGTACGGAAGTCATGCTTTAAAAATCCAAATTAATTGCTTCAAATTTTAAGGACTGTGTTTTTCCTCTCGAAGTATAAGCAATAATTAAGAGATGAATTTGAAACTCAGGTTAGATTTGTTACTAATTATATGAATGTCATCAGCTCTTACATGCATCGAAGTGGGTTATTCTTAAAAAATAAACGGAATATGTCTAATATAATGATTCTACAGTAAGGAACTAGAGAGGAAAAAACTCATTTGGGAACACCAGTTACAGTTCATACTACGAATAGTACTATAGATGATAAAACTTCATGCATTGCTATTAATTTTGCTAGGGATAAGAAACTGTCATCTTTAGATTACTTTAAAATTATATAAATTATTTCGGTTTACCATTATAATCTTACAGCAATACAGTTTTGATTTGTTTCTCCAACAGAATTATTACCATTTAAAACTCCGTAAGTCTCAAATATCTGCAATATGCGTGTAATTTTCAAATTTTAGAAATTCATAGAATTTTTAAAAAACTAACTGTAACAAATATATTTGAAACTTAAAGCAGTGTTTCAGTCGTGGTAAAGTTTACGATTGGAAAACTCATATTTGACATTTAAAATATTATTCTTGTAAGACTGTAGTTGTAATCTGGACACACATCCCTGTATCCGCCAACTCATCAAGAAATAAAGGACTGTTCAAATCATGTTTGTTTTTCAATGTTATCAGCCTACCCCCGAGTTTTTAAAACAAAAGTTTCTTGGGTTTCTTTTTTCAATCATTGCTAAAATTGTGTCATGTATTTTTTTCATTCTTTCAACATCATCAGTCTATCCTCGTGTCTTTAAAACAAGTACGTGTATCTCTTGGGTTACGTTTTAAAAATCATTGATAAAATATCCTTAAATTGTTTCCTGTAATTCATTATGTCTTCTGCAGAGTCATATGAAGATTCAATTATAACAGTATCAGTAACCTACTCCTTGTAAAACCTGAACCAGCCATAAAAAATAAGATAGTTATTCAATTTTTTTTTTCAGTAACATGAAACAAGCTTTCTGTATACAGATTAAAAAGGAAAATAATATCTTTTAGTTCTCAGAGTTTACTCTAAAATTACAAACGATTCTGTTGTCATTTCAGGAAGTTCTTCATTAACAGATGTTGTTACTTCATCTGTGAAATCATCATCATCGCTATCATCGAAGTCATCATCGTCGTCAACATCCTCAGTGAAGTCGTTAGACGCATCAGATGTATTGTCAGACACCTCCGATGTATCAGCGTCGGTGGTATCTTCCTCTGGTGGCATCACCTGTGTGAAGTCTGACTCTAGCCCCTCCTTTTTGATCAGCTCTCGGAGCTTCTCCAGTTGCTCGCTCTGCAGACAGAAACAGCTGGGTCTCTTATGCATCCATTTCTTCATTTTCTTTATTTTCCTCCATTTCTGACGTCTCTGTGCTCTGTCTCCTTTACCAGCGCCCCATCGTCGCCTGTGGATCATTGAATGACTATTCTCGTAACTGTTCGATACCTCGTCCGTCTTATCTTCGTCAGAATCATCTGTTGTCATCATACCACGACGTTTCTTCATCCATTTCATTTTCCTTTGGCGCTTCCTATTCATTTTTCTCTGTTTCCTAGACATCCAGTCGTTTTTATACACCGACCCCTCGTCATCGTCTTTGATATCGTCATCGTTCGCCATCATCGGATCTCTGAAAGAAAAAAATGAAAAATTAATTTGTAATTACATGTATAAAGAAATTTATAAAATGAATTGACGATACTACAAAGCATAGAGAAATTGTGCAGTTTTCTTTCAGAATGCTGTACCAGTTTTTTTTCTGTAAAATATAATAGCTGTACAGTGTACGATTTTTGTATCAGTGGTCATCAAAAATGCTCCTAGTGCTGAAATTTCGAGATACATATACCGGTATATATTTAGCAATATATCATTAATTAGTTTTGCTCTTTGACTTACTTAGTATTTGTTTCAACTATGATTGATAACTTTTAAAATAATTATTTTACAAGAAAACTCGACATTTCTATCTTTACTTGTCGGACACAGGGGTTAATGAGCAACACAATCACTTTTTCAACAAACATGCAGCTCGATTGCGCTTTTGAATTCTTGTAAACTGATTTAAAGTTAAGTTAATATGGGAGTTAATTCCTGCAAAATAGAATTTTTCTTTTTTGCTCATGTATGAAATTTTAATAAGCTTAATTTATAAACCTAAAATATCTAGTTTTGATTTGGTTAATCATCAGTACCACCTTTTCCTTGGCTATAAGGATAAAATCGCACTCATGTGTCAAGTTCGTTTTTAAATAAAATACACGCCAAATTATCATTGCATTCTTCCTAAGGAGATTTCAGTCCCTCTCTATTCTATCTTTGTAACTGGATTTTTTTTTTTGAAATTACACTTGCAGTGTATAGAAGCAAGAAATTAAAATCTAGCAGACTTACCCGTGACTTGCCGACTGTAGTGCGGCGAACTTCTGCCTCCGCCATTCTCGTCTGCGCCCGCCTCGCCGAGCCTCAAGTACACTGAGTACGGCCAGCACCAGTAATAGAGACAACCAAACCTTCATCTTAATGATTCCTGAGTTCTGCTGTACCGTCTGATGGACTTCTATTTATACTAAGACTTGTCCGAGTTTACGTAGTTTTTGATCCCCATCACGCGGGGTTGTTTTTAGGAAATTGTTTACATCCTGAGTATTTTGAGTGTTTCCTCCCCGCTGCTTTGTTCCAGTTTCTGCCCCCCTTTCACATGTCTTACTGACCAGTGCCGGGTATGGTTGGCCGTTCTACTCACAATTATTTATTTTTAGTCCACTAAAATTATTTTTACTGCAGTAAAAATAAAACACTGGCCAATGCTACTCACAATTAAATATTTTTACTCCAGTAAAAAAAATTTACTCCAGTAAAATTATTTTTACTCCAGTATCATTTTTACTCCAGTAAAAATCATTTAATTTCTTACTGAAGTAAGATTACTTTTTGGCCACATTACTCACATTTAATTAATTTTACTGCAGTAAAAATAAAACACTGGCCATCTAACTCACACATTCATTATTTTTACTGCAGTAGAAATATAACACTGGCCTTCTCTACTCACAATTAAATATTTTTACTTAAGTAAAAATCAACCAATAACCAAGTATGTTACAAATTAGCATTTCTAATAAATATTGGCGGTAATGGCGTATACAAGACATCACCTTGAATTAGAAAACACTAAAGAAGAATTCTTAAGACGAACAAAGCAAACCATCAATGACTGTATACGTTTATCAGCCACAGATAACCTTGAAGCAGAAACCATTGACAGCATTGTTTTAAGGTAGGCATCATAAATTTGCATATTTATCTTGTTTGTTGGCGGATCCAAGATTTTTTTATGTGTTGTGAGAAAAGTTATATTACTCAAGACCTATCGAAAATTTTCATCATGTTCATATTCCAGCTGTTATTATTTTGTACTAAAACTCAGTATCTAATTAAATATATTTTTTGTCAGGTTCTTATATTCGGCAATGGGTATCATGAAAAATTATTTTTATACTCACGGATCAATAGATCGGGGCGCATATTGTTTTTGTCTTGTTTGTTTGTCTCTCGGTTGTCAACAGCCACGTAGCATCGTTTTTGAAGGGGGGGCAGCCCAGAGAAAAAAAATTTCACTTACCTGAAGAAAGTTGACAAGAAAAAAAAAAACAAAAAAAAAAAAAACAAAAAAGGAAAATTGTCCAAAGTCGGGTAGTTTGACAACTTTTTTCAGTGTCATCAAGTTCTTTCAGTACCAATTTTTAGCATTCAGTACTACATTTCCCTTATATAAATTTCCTGTAGTGTACAGAGGGGGTGGGGGGGTGGGCTACCAACCTTTCAATTTCAACCTGTCATGCAGTCTCGAAATCTCAGGCAAAAAGTCATCCGTATCTGAACCATCCATATTTTCCATTTGACGCGTATTACATACCGGTTTATATATTACAAAAATCGTTACTTTTGCAAATGATATATTTTTTTCCTATGCAGAATGCTATAACAGAACAGGTCCAAAACAGAGTGGAAGTATAACTGACTCAATTCAATTAAATTCGATGCATTGAGTCAATAAAACAATTTTAGAGAGTTGAAATGTCAATCTCAATCAACATTAATTTATAGAGCAGGAAATGACAAAAATCAGCAAATCCCATTCAAAGGTATACCAGTGTAAGATCTGGCTATAAAATTTGATAACAGCCATCGGCAAATGACATCGATATCGTGAGACTGAGGAGAGAGATGTCAGATGACGAAGCATTACAAACACGTGCAAAAATTGCCCCTAGAGGTCAAATAATTTAAAAACAATTAATTTCCACAAATGTGAAGATCTAGCCCTAAACTGATTTCTATTTTGTACTAGCTAACAATTTTTGAAAACTTAAATAGAAAGTACCTAATATGAATTGATTTACTTGGCAGTTTGGATATTGAGTTAATTAAAAAACCAAAGTTATGATATCAAAAGATGCGGAACTGTCTTCTATATGTTTATCATAGAAACTTTTTCATATCATTCAGTCTATAATTTCACGAGAAAAACTTCTTAAATTATATACATATTGCTGCTACTGTTGGCACAGCCAAATATTTTAAGTTGGGGACACTATCAATTACCAGAAATTCCTTGACAAGCGGAAAAAGGCATAAGAAGTTTAATTAATTGATCTCTCCTATAGTATCACTACATGTTTTCTATACTCTTAATATATTTTTTAAAGATTATATTGTATACTGTATATCGGCACATCCGTACAGTATAGTCCATTTGCAGTTATATTCCCTGTCTTAGGCGTAGGAAGCACATTGAAAGTCTATGTATATCATGTCATGTGTAAACAGTCTGGGGAATTTTCCCCGTTGAGCTATGAGTCACCAAATATCTAACATGGACTGTGATTGGTTGATTTTCACTTGAGTAAAAATATTTAATTGTGAGTAGAAATGGCCAGTGTCATATTTTAACTGCAGTAAAAATATTTTTACTGTAGTAAAATTAATTAATTGTGAGTTAAATGGCCACATTGTATTTTTACTCCAGTAGAGAAGTAAATTATTTTTACTGGAGTAAAAATAATTTTACTGGAGTAAAAATAATTTTACTGGAGTAAAAATATTTTTACTGGAGTAAAAATATTTAATTGTGAGTAGCATTGGCCAGTGTTTTATTTTTACTGCAGTAAAAATAATTTTAGTGGAGTGAAAATAAATAATTGTGAGTAGAACGGCCAACCATAGCCGGGGAATGCCCTAGCTGTTGATGTTGTGCGTGCGTGTTTTGAATTATGATACAGGGAAGCAGGGGGGAGTTTTATTGACGCTGGTGCAGATGGCCTTCTGACTACAATTATATGGAATTTTGTTTTTGCTGCTGGTGCTGTTTTCATATCTTCCATTTGTTTTCATTTCAAAGACCTGGTGACTCATTGACCAAATGTGTCAAATAAAGAATAAGATGCTTACAATTACCTCGTAAAATTCCAGAAATATATTTAGATATATTCTCTGACATCCGAATCTTAGATTATATGAGATAAAATTACGTTGCTGGTTAAATAAATAAATATAAAGAGTAAAAAATATATATCTTTAGGCACAAACGAACAACAACCACAAAAGTCCCTTACATTGACCTGTCTGCAAAAGTAAAAGAATTGGAAGGCTCTAGGCTTTCAAATTGAAAAACAAAAAAAAAACACGAATATTAAATGCGGTAACACCCAGTAATTTCAAAATGAACGATTTGAGACAAGCATAAATATTTTAAATCTTTGAAAATTTCTAATTTATGACAATACGGAATCGAAATTTTTATGATAAATTTACACCAGTCAAAATTCTTAGATGAATAAATTATTATATTCTTCCCAAATGATCAATTTTTATCGTTTTAGCTCACCAGAGCCATATTTCTGATCACTGTATATCCTAGCGTTCATTTGTTTATTTTAATCTTCTCAAAAACAACTGAACCAATTTGGCACATAGTATTTTTGGGTAAAGAGGATTTTAAATTGTTCAGAAGGACCAAGTTTACTTCAAAGATAAAGAGAAGTTTGACAGTGTCTTTAAAAAATCTTAAGAAACAGTAGTACTGGGCCAAAAAGGACTTGACATAGTGTGGATTCTAAATTGTTTAAATAAATCATACCCTCCTGGAGGGTCACAATGGGGGCGAGATTCTGTATATACATGTATACTGGGATACCAATTTTATTTATCCCTTGTTGGACATAGAGCCCCCACAACAGCCCTTTATCTGTTTCTATCTGGGACTGCATGTTTGCCTTCTCCCCATTACATCGATCTGTATTAATCTTAGTTATATCAAAAATATCCCGAAAAACAACATGGCCAATATTAATCAAGTAGCATTGTAGCCCATGTTTTTTTTTTTTAATAACTATACATGTACAAATCTACATAAAAAAACTAAGAAATCTTTGTTGTTCAATGTAAGCATAATTCAACACATACACTTTAAATGTAAAAAGAAAATTGACTCAGTGCTTTTACTATTTCTAACTGCATTTTATTCAATATTTTGCCCGTCAGTTTCATATGCTGCATGAATTACTGAGTACATATCATTCAGAAAGAAATGAATTTTCTAAGAATTTTTAATAATTTACAAAGCCCATTGTAAGTCATGTGATCATGTGCATAGATTACGTTCTAATTTTATATGACCACATTCTTCTCACTGCTTTTCTTTAAGTGTCTAGATGATTGTCTGTAAGGACATTTATCCTGAAGTATCTGAAGTGAAATCACAAGACACAGTTCTGACATAATGATTCATGTCATCATGTGATGGAAGGTTGTACTTCTCACCAAATATAAACATAACAATCCAAATAAAGCACTAATTCCAAGAAGTCCTAGAGAATATAAATCTGTATAATTGTTCACTGTTAACATGAAAACATAAAAGTTCAGATCAATTTCTTTCCTTTCTTTGTTGTTTATAGACAGAAATTAGCAAGGAATGCAGATCTGTTAACTTTTTCTGTTGGTAAATCCACACATTTGTCAACAAAATAAACAGAAATCCATTCTTCGGGTTGCTTTTCTTGAAAGCATGTCTTGATAGTAGAGCAGTTTTATGACATTTCTAAAGTTTCTGGGTCTCAACTATTGTCTTTAGCTTTTAAACCCATTCCTTCACATCTAATGATTGTAGAATTCTTTGTCAATTCTTGCACTTCAAATTTTGCCTGTAATAAAAAAATCTTTCTTGGTTTTGTTCCATTGTAAATAAAAAACCCACATATTTTTCTATTTCTAAAACTAGTTAAAATATTGATCAAACATGTGAATTGTAAGCATAAGATTTGATCTTCATTTATAAATCATTTTAACACCCCCCCTCCTTCACTTTTGCAGCAAAATATCATGAGCTTGCCTTTGTCATCAATGAAGCAACATGTATGGCGGTTTCAGTGTGTAGGGATAATGGGCCACACAGGATTTCTGATTTCCCTTCAGCTACTGCCATCAGAACTATCAGCTGATCACCAAAAATAGGGAGAAAATCATGAATAAAATCTCTGTTTAAAGTCCAATTTTCTAAAGAGATAAAATTGAATGATTTTAACAAACTTACAAATGAATGTTGTTCTCCTCTTGAATGTTATTTAAGTTAAAATTGCTGAAAGTTAAGGAATAATAAATACCATGTGATTATACAGATAAATATGATATTCCCTCTGACCTGATCTTGTAGAAACTCGTCGACACAGCCGCCATTATACAGGTTGTTAATCAGCATGTCCCCTGCCTCCTGCCCCACCCTCTCAGCCGGCTTACCTTTTGAGGATTTAAAGATAACAGAATTATAATACAAGTAATAATGCAAGTATTTTTATTCAAATAAATTGCTTGAAATTCATACAACCATTTTACTTTATTTCTACCTTTCTTCCCCAGAGCTGAGCCTGCCAGCAGACAGCCAGTGCTTGTTTCTGCCACAACTCTACAATAGGTCAGTAATTAATTACATTGTAACAGAGTTGACATCATACAAAATGAAACGTTTTATGAATAAGAACTTAATAATGACATTGAAAAGTTGTGAATGGCCACTTACATAATTCCACACCCGACTCCTATTGCCTCAGATTCTTTACACACGTCTATCTTGATGGGGACCCCTCTGTAGTGTTCTTTGATGACACCTGTAGCACACTCTGCCATAATATGAGCTACCTATAAAAAAACATACAACACCTGTAGCACACTCTCTCATAATGTCAGCTACCTATATAATAAATTTATGACACCTGTAGCACACTCTGCCATAATGTGAGCTACCTATATAATAAATATATGACACGTGTAGCACACTCTGCCATAATATGAGCTACCTATAATATAAATATATGACACCTGCAGCACACTCTGCCATAATGTGTGCTACCTATAAAATAAATATATGACACCTGTAGCACACTCTGCTATAATGTGAGCTACCTATATAATAATTACATGACACCTGTAGCAATTCTGCCATAATGTCAGCTACCTATATAATAAATATATGACACCTGTAGCACACTCTGCCATAATGTGAGCTACCTATATAATAAATATATGACACCTGTAGCACACTCTGCCATAATGTGAGCTACCTATATAATAAATATATGACACCTGTAGCACACTCTGCCATAATGTGAGCTACCTATATAATAATTACATGACACCTGTAGCACATTCTGCCATAATGTGAACTACCTATATAATATAAATATATGACACCTGTAACACACTCTGCCATAATGTTAGCTACCTATAAAATAAATATATGTCACCTGCAGCACACTCTGCCATAATGTGTGCTACCTATATAATAAATATATGACATCTGTAACACACTCTGCCATAATGTGAGCTACCTATATAATAATTATTTGACATCTGTAGCACACTCTGCCTTAAAGTGAACTATCTCTAGGCCCTATATGTCACTTGTAGCACACTCATAAGAGACATTGCATCAAAGCAAATGTAAAGAGAATATCATTCATGGCAGCAATAAAGGGAGGTAAATCTTCTTTAAGTTATTGAATATCAATACACATGAGTGTAGAGTTGTCTGCCAATCTTCCTCCTTCTTGAATCTTTAAAGTTTCATGTTACATGTTATGTTTGATTAGAAAGCCCATAGGCACTATCAGTCTGGATGATGAGAAAACTAGGTCTTTAAACAAACAGTCCAGATAAAAACACTTCTGAAAGTCCTGATACTAGTAGGTTGTTAATATTTTCAATCTAAAATGTGGATGATTTCAATGTTTCGATGAAATATTAAGATGTGAAAAGTTACATAATTAGTGAATGTTGTGGTTTATATTTGTAGAACTAATTTATTTAATTACTGATTTATTATCCATACCTTTTTAGGAAGCACCCCCGCTACAAATGAGAGCCCAAATATCCTGGTGACTGTGCCCTGATCTGTCATTGTGACCCCACGTAGACCGGAGCAGGGGGAAACCTTTACATGAACCTCTCCCCCTCCCTTAGGAAAAAAACCTCTACAATTTAAAGAAACATTATCTCTCCTAAAATATCTATTTGAAAGCCTTAAATATTAGAAATGATGGAATATAAACAATTAGTGCTATTTAATATTGTCACAATTAATTAAATGTGATATCTAAAGTATATCATTTTATTGACTAATTTCTTATAGACAGCTGAAGACATGAGTGAAAACCTAATTTTATGTTTTCTTAGATTTGTCTAATGGCGAAGGATGTTCAGCATACATGTATAAGAAAAATGAAAATTTGAAGGAAGATCAGTGGTAACAAGTTTAAAAAAGTGCATCTTTAATATTTTCACTAACCTTCTCTTAATTTCACCTTCAAAATGAAGTCCAAAACGTGCAGCTATTGGTCGAAATACCTGCAATACAATCAGATTAAGGTCAAGATCTAGTAAATGAAAGGTGCCTACAGATTTATCCAACTTGAGAAATAAATTCCTTTATTGATGCTTTATAACTTTAGCCTTGTCAAATAAGGTGTTTCGGGGCATAATTTGTAGGTAAACAAGATGAAAAACTGTATTTCAAACTGTCATTTTCAATGAAAAATTAAGAAAACCAGTCATGAATATGGGAGTTTTTTTTCATATTCGGCAAAGGAAATGTATCCAGATTGCCTACAGTCTCTCAGAAAACAGTAATTAGTATGTTCACGGCCTTCTCTTTAAATCAATATCAAATTTAATATAGGTATCCAGTTTACTTTTCATATGATTTCAAATTGAATGACATGAAAATACCCTATTTTCTACATAATTCTGCTAAAGCCGTAAAGTTTCACTAACCTTCTGAAATTGATTATGACGTCATAATGGATCTAGCACCAAAAAATTAGTCTCAAGTTATTTACTAGATCTTGACCTTAAAATGCAAGTAGATAAACAAGATGTTTGTTCTACACCATCGTCGCAAACCACAGCCAAAATGTACGATCCTCTCCCATTGTGGCTGTGGTTGCATGAGAAGATTATATGAATATTTCGTAGCTCATTAAAATATTGACCAATGCGAGTAAAGCATAGTCGGATAATGAACTTTGGTGCGACCTTTCAATACCAAATCGCAGTGTACGAAATACTGCTGAAGTAAATTGTTGATTTCAATTGCGATGGAAACAAAACTTGTCATTGACTACATATGACGTCACAATAGGGAGGCGTAAATATTCAACATTACGCCACTTTTTGTGATCAAGCAGCCATGGGTATGAGAGAGCTATAAGCGGATTCCTGACTGTGGCTTGAGATGATGGTTCTACACAGGTATGTTTCTATTTTTGTAAATATTCAACCTTATATATAACTCTTAATCCCACCAACACACATACACTGAATCACCATTGTTAACATTTTTATAAGTTTGGTCATACTTTAAGGTCAAGGTCATGAAAAAAGAAATTGAAGCCTTTTTGAAAAGAAAAAGATCTTGTCACAGGTCTACTCTTAATCAAAAATCATTCATGACCAAGGTTCAAAGTTTAATGTGACAGACATATGAACAGAAAGACAGAGTGGACAGATGAATGAAATTTAATGTCTCCTTGCTTGCTCAGTGCAGGACGTTTACCATTAGAATATAGTCAATTTGTGGGGCCATTTCAGCATTGGTTCCCCCAATCAAGGACATGTGTACATCTCCATCGCTGAAGAAACAGCAGGGCACAGCTGCCTGCATCAATAAACATATACTCCTACAAAACAGAAAACATTTCACTCCATTCATAGCACAGTATGCTGAAAACTAAAATAAAGACATGATTTTATAAGAACTAAATTTATCTACTTATATTAATTCATTAAACAGTGACATGTTCCCATTATCTAGTGAATGGTCACAATTTTACATTCACTTTTTTTTCTATTTTGTTTTTGCTATATTCTTTGTTTAAAATTGTATCATAGAAAAAAATATGACATTAAAACTTATGGACAATCTTTAAAAAAAAAACAATTTGCCCTCTTCCATCTTGGTTAATAGGTAGAAGTAGGGAATCTAAAAAAAAAAAATAACCTCAATGCTGAATTTTCAAAATTTTCTGAAATTAGAAGTATTGATAAAATAAAATGGGATGGAAAAAATCCCTAATGAATGAAGAAAAAAAATCTTTTACAAGAGGTTTGAAAAAGGTTTTTAAGTTATGAGATTTATTGGCAGTGGGTCGGGGAGTTTAAAACAGACATTTTTCTATAAATGCCTACCCAGCAGTTTTAGTGTCAGCTTTATAGGACCCGGCCTTGACCTTCCCTGGTATAAAGGTCACTTCTGTTGACCCCACAGCTCCATTTTCCAGCTTTCCTCCACATATTTCTGAAACAAGTTGCAGTCCTGTGAGGTGTTGAGGTCTAAAAAAAAATTTTCTTCATTGATTCTCATGAAAATTCATTTACACATATCTAAGATACTGTACGTATACAAATTTATTGTGTCATATGATTACACTAAATTTGATTAAGATATCATCCCATAAGGCATTATTTAATTTGGCTACCATGGGCAATTAAATGGACAATCAGAAAATAATTTTTTATGAAATAATGAATTATTTGCAAAATAAAAAATAAATCTTCCCGACTCTCCAACACATATGGGAGCCAGATGAAACTAGTCCCTTGTCAACTTGCAAAATACAGAAATGAGATGAGCCTGTCACATATCATCAGAATGCAGTGTTGATTAGGGCACATAAATAAGTTACAATTGGCTGATCTCATTAATGACTATATAGGGCAAGGGATGTGACTGAAATGAGCTAATAATAGACAAATTCCAAACATTGAGTATTAACATGTGTTGTCATGGACCTCACATAAAATAATTACCTAAAGCAGTCTGCTAAAGCATGTGCTCTATCAATGTATCTGCACAAAATCCTTTGGTTTATTATTTACCTGAGTCCAGGTTTATCTCTCCCTGCCCTTATTTTCTGGACACGAATCGGTTGATTTAGTAAACAGCTTAATGATGCAGCATTCCTTAAAATTTGTCCACCCTAAAAAAAAAGTAAGCATCATTGCAAAATTTTGCTAAACGTTGAAATTTATAAATATCTAACAGTTTTATAGGCATAATTATTTATTTACAATGAGCTAAACAATTTTTATATGTGTTTCAATATATTATACTTAATGCTGTACCCATCATTCTCAACATTTTACCCTATCATGTCAATGTTGGACAATGCCACAATGATCAAATGATAAGAAAACAGTTCTTGGTGTATTAAAATGGAATAAAATTCTTACCCCTTCTAGTACACTGCCATCAATATCTAAAAATTCATGCCGAACACTCGATGCCATCCTGGAAAATTGTGATTTACATGTGTAAGTACATATAGATTGCACAACGCTGATAAATCGAAAGTGAAAATAACACATCACATTGCAAATCCTCGGGATCGAGGTTCATGTTTCTACTTTCGATTTCATTATTTACACAACATTGCGACATTCATCATTTCATGTTTTTGGGTAAAGCACAGTCTTAATTTATTTAGATGTCAACGAAACAAAAGGAATATGGAAAATGATGAGTCTGTACGTCTGGCAACTGATGTACTGCAAGCACACGAGAAGTTACATCTTAATCTGAAAAGGACTCACAAACACACGGATGGTGGGTTTTTCTTTACCTCACTTGATCGAAGGTTTGATAAAGTTTATCGCTCGTCTGTCTGTAAGTTGACCATTTTCTATTTTTATATGAACATGTAAGCCAATTTCAACCAAGCTACAAGAGGATTTAACTTTGTTCGAGGGAAGATCCAAATCCTTCCCTTTCATATTAAATCCATACATATAACTGAGGAAAAAAAGTTATTTAAAAATCTTCTAAGAATGAATAAAAGCTGGAGACCAACACAATGAGGTTAAAATTGCTGAAGATTCTTACGTATGGATACCAAAGGTATTCAATAGGGTCTGTAACTAAAGTTGTAAATGTTAAAATATAAAACAGATCGCCAACACTTTGTGAGAATGCAGCAGTAAAGATTTATTGACCGGTTTCAACCTGAGGCGGTCGTCATCAGAACAATCAAGCATTTAAGGGGGCCGACTATAGTTTTATTTTGTGAAAACTACAATAGCGAAACTCTTCATTTTTATACCATATATATATATTAACTTCAGTGTACATGCAAAGTTTTTACTTATATTTTTGAACATAGAAAATAATGAAATTAAAATTATATAGGAAAATGCCAATTTTTTGCACTTTAAAGCAAATTATACAAATACAACAATAGACATTTTGTTCAAACTATAATATTTGATAAGTAATACTATATTATACAATATATATAAGAAACACAAAATTCTACCGTCTTGTTACCAGAGGGGGCATCTCAAAATGCAAAAAAATTAGCAAATTTTACTATTTTTATAGAGTATTACAAAATATGACGTACACAATGGATTCACATGAAACCATAACAAAAATATTAAGATTATACTTAAAAAATTCTATGTTTTAAATTTCAAGTTCGTATGTTTCATCATTTTGAATAATATTTTTATTACCCCTTTACATATTTAATATTCCATTTATTTAACGTCAAAAACACACTACAACGATGTCAACCTACCTATCAATTGCAAACTCGGTTAAAAAATCAGTTATATCAAATTGTAATTACATTTTTATACCTATAATTTCTTAGTTTTGTTTAATTTTGATAATTAAGCGAAAAAACACTTTGTGAGAATGCAGCAGTAAAGATTTATTGACCGGTTTTGACTTGAGGCGGTCGTCATCAGAACAGTCAAGCATTTAAATATATCTGTTGAAGTAAAAAATGTGTATGATGTTGCTATAAAGAAAATAAAATGCAGACTGTTTTGTACATATGCGGACTTGCTTAACAATGATACTTTAAACAAGATATAATCAGTTTACGCTTCCTCTAAAGTCTCAGTCTACTGAAACAGCTTGAACTGCCACAATGATGATGCAACAGAAGAATAAAATCGGATTTTTATCCACACAATTTATGGATGATTTTATTAATCATAAAACAATTATTTTATTTACTTACTAAATCTTAAGTCAGAGAAACTATGTTTCAGTGTTCCAGAAGTCAGTAGACACCCTTGATAATCTGAGGGAGATTAAAGGTGAGCTAGATGGATCAGCTAGGAATTTTGACTCCCCCAGTGTCTGTGAGGACCATCTCCTGGAACTCCGACAGCAGGTGCTGATGCATATTCCCTACTCTGTCTCCCCAGAGAACAAGCAAAAGTTCCAGGAACTCATCAGCAAAACATTTGAAGGTGAGAAATAATTAAAGCATTTATGTGAAATAATGACAAGCCATATTTTTAGGTCACCTGAGTAAACTCAGGTGACCTATAGCTATCTGTTTTTGTCCGTCGTCGTGCATCTTCCATCATGTGTTAACATTTGATCATTTTCAGCTTCTTCTCTGCAACAGCTCAACCAATTTCAACTAATTTTGGCACAAATCATCTATGGGTAAAGGGGAACAAAAATTGTGAATTTCATGGTCCCTGCTTCCCTGGGGCCCGAGGGGTGGGGCCAAAACCACTAAAATAAATACTATCTTTAAAATTCTTCTCCTTTACTCCAGGACATCAAGCAGTTAAACTGTTGGCATGATTTAATCAGCATTGAGTCCTCTACCAAAAGGTGAGCAGAGCTATTAAAATGTTGTTAAATATCTTACCTATTCCATATACAGGAGCGGAGGTTTTATCGGCCGTCCTTGTGACGTGTCCCTGGTACCAAGCCAGCCAGGACGAGCGAGGGGAGCAGGCTCGACATAATGTCCTCTTCATTGTTTACCTGTCAAGTGACCACCAATTCCTAGCACCAGTTAATCAACATGTATTAAATGAAAAATTTGTCCTGGATAAGGTACTATTCATTATAGATTTGATATATTTTACATGTTTTTTTTATCTGATATATAAAGAAATGACAGTCTTTTTGATGAATTATGAATTGCAAACTGTTCAATGAGTTTTCAAATATTGCTGTAAGTTGGACTGAGTGTGATACTAATAATTTTACAGTTTTAACAACTTTACATGGGGGAAAAATTTCACCCTAGCTGATATATTTTTGCCTCTTTTGCCTTCATCATATCAGATCAAAAGGCGTAAATGCAGTAGATTGAAACATTTAACTCACAAATTGAAACATTTTGAATAAAAATAATCTGCTCAAGAAACACCATTAAACATTAAAATTGGAAATTAATAATAATACAAGCCTTAGATCTGTAGAAATGTGTTGTTTCAGGGCTGGCTGTGTGCTATAGAGCTGTATCACTTTGTGTATGCCATTGTGAAGGGTAGAACCAGATGTGTGGAGGTCCTGTATTGTCCTGACTCCGCCCAGTTAATACAAACGGACCAATGGAAACAACTGAAGGAACAGCTGGAGTTTTCCAAAGTTACAAGTAATGTGTGCTACACTAAGTTATTGGTAATTTTTTTTTTATACATTTAGAAAACAGAAAAAGAATTTTTTTTTGCATTTACCTGTTTAAGTTAGCTGCAGAACTGTAATCTCTCCAAAAAAATATATATTGAAATATCAATACATTTATTGAACAATGTGCTGTTTCTCAATTTATTTCTCCATGTTTTTATACTGTCATCTCAAAATATTACTAACCATATGTTCCTAACACATTCTTTCACTGTTTCAACAACAAAACATTCCTTATAATTGTTGTTAATAGCCCTCCCAGCCCTGAATTGAGATCATTGAAAATTTCGTCTATTTGTACTGCGCCATTTGTTTGCAAGATAATTCGGTACTACTAATTCAGATGCAACAACACAGAGGAGTAAGGAATTTTTTTAAATCTATCTTTTTGTTGATTGCGGTAAGAATTTGGAAGAATTAATCCAGAACTAAGTGCAACTTTTTGTGCTCAATAAATATACAGTTCTTACAATGGGTGACACTGTAGCTCTCTGGTCTGTCAAAATATTTTTTATGGAGAGCTACAGTTCTGCAGCTACTGTTTAAGTATAAAGAAGAAAAAAATTAAAAATCACTAGTTCTTATTTTTAGGATTCAAATTGTTATCAATTTTTGTCCTTTTGCTTTTTTAACCCCAATTAAAATTGATTGAAAAATAAATTATATACTTTAAAAATGTACATGTATTAGTTGTGTCATGTGCATTGATAAATTTAGGTTTTTTTTAGGTTTTATTTGCATATTCTGTTTTCAGTACTCAGTTAAAGTGGATTTTTTTTGGTATTTTTAGCTATGTGGAAGATTTTATTTGTAGAACACAAGTTTATATGGACAATTCTTTTTTAGAACTCAAGGGCTATGTGGAAGCCTGTAAAGGTCAGTCAGTAAGTGGTATTGGAAAGAAAGGAAAGGATGGCAAGTTCCGTCTGGTAGAGTCGACCACATTTCACGAGTTCTGCAACAGCTTCAGGTGATGACAAATCACTAACTGATAAAATGATTGCAATATTTAGTAAAAATTACATGTACCTTGTGTAATGATAGCTGCTCAGTAATCTGAGTTGATGCATTTTTTTGTTGTTGAAATTTTGAACTTTTATCTTGTTATGCATGTTAAATTAAATCACTTCTTCTGCGACTTACCTTTTTTCAGATTGATGAATCATTTGTACAACATCTCTGCTGATTTACCACCATGTACAGATCCCTCACAGCTATCCAGTCTTCCTGACATAGCTGTTAGAGGAAAGGAACTTCTATACAGCCTTTATAAGGTATGGGCATTGTCAAACTATTGAATACTTTCTAACAGTAAACACTTTCATAAAAATTAAACTTCTAAATAAATGACTGCCCACTTAATATTCTATGGATCATAAGACACTGGTTTGTTGTAGGACCCAGACGTATCAAAGAGAGATATATTTGACCTACTTGTCCGGTGGCGGGACTCGGTAATTTCAGATCTCAAAAACCTCCAGTACACCAATCAACAGGAAATGGAGGAAATCATAGGAAAATGGCAGATAGAAACAAGACTGAAAGGCAGGAAGATCTCCGTCCCTAAAGGTAAGCTGTAGAGCATGGCCATAGATTAGTGGGGGGAAGGGTGATATTAAAGTACAAAGATCTTACATAAGTTTTGTTATACCAGAATATGATTAGATGTACGTGGCAGATTTGACAATGTTTTCATTAATGTATTAAGTAATTTACATGATAAATTGTGTGTGTATTTTAATTTGTGTAATTTATAAAGTGCTGCCAGATGAACATTCTTCATTGACAAAACAAATGCAAGAGATTGGTGGACAGGTTGCTAAGTTACAACCAGAGCAAATTATTCTGATTGCTCAGGCAGGCAGTCACATGTACGGCCTAGCCACACCCACTAGTGATGTGGATTTCTTGGTTATCTATTCAGAACCTTGTCAGGTAAGATTT